CATTAACCCAGAGGGATAAAGAGACATCATTGAATGAATTAGATATAGACTTTCAGTCACTTATAGACATAACTGATACACCAGAATTAATCAAGACCCGATTTCTAATTCTATGAAACAAATACAAGGACATCTTGACTGGCATAATGATTCGATTGGCCATTCTGGTTTAATGGAGTATGACATTAAACTGAACCCGATGCTGTCCCGTATCGTGCTAAACCTTACCGACTATTACCACTCGAATCCGAATACCTACAACAAGAAATCGATAAATCTCTACGACTTGGTATCATCAGGAAAAGCGAATACTAGAATCGGTCAAACAATATTGCAATGGTAAAGAAAAAGGATGGTACATATCGAGTAACTGTTGACTTCGTAAACTCAATGATGCAACTGTTAGAGCTGCAGCCTGCCACAACTTACCAAGAATCGACGAATTTGATTGACGTTTAGGATCCTCAAACTTTTCAGCCAGATAGATATGAGAAGTGGATTCTACAATATGAATCTTAGAGAAAGCGATCGTCATTTCACAAACTTCACCTGCAAATTCGGGAGCTATGAATTTTGCACACTCGCGCAAGGTCTCCTAAATGCACCCAGTAGGTTCAACATTCTAGTGAATCTGGCTTTCCATAGTCTCGTTGGAAAGACAGTATGCGTCTATTTAGATAATGTCACAACCTACATTGGTGACTCACGAGAGGAACATTTAGTAGTCATTGAAAAAAATTTCGCTTGTACGGAACTTGGAGAAATTCAAGCTCAACCCCACCAATTGCAAATTCTTTGCGAAGAAAATTACCTTCCTGGGATTTTCTTCTCAGGGGAAAACGTACCAATCAACCCAGCTTTAACAGAGAAGGTTACTGCGTTCCCAACACCCAAATCAGGAAAAGAAGTACGATCATTTATTGGGTTAGCCTCATACTACCGCCGATTTATATTAGCATTTGCTAAGCACGCTCGACCCCTACACGAAATAACAAAGAAGGATGTCGCAACAAAGTTCACTTGGACTCCTGAAGCCGACGAGGCCTTTGAAACATTAAAAACAAAACTAACAGAAGCACCGGTATTAAAAATCGCCGACTTCACAAAGCCATTTGTAATCGTAACGAATTCATCAATTGTGGGACTGTCCGCGATTTTAACGCAGCTAGACAAAGAAGGCCACGAACATCCTATATTTTACGGAAGTAGATCCACATCACCAGAAGAGAAAAATTACGGCATCTCAAAATTGGAAATGGCCGCAATTGTTTGGGGACTGAAACTATTCCGCCCGTATGTGTTATCTTCGGAGTTCCTTGTCACGATCATCTCAGATCATGCATGCCTAAATAGCTTATTGAAAACCAATAAACCTTCCGAAATCATAGCAAGGTGGATCGAAGATCTATCAGATTATAACTATACTATAGTGTACCGACCCAGCCGATGCCTTGTCAAAAACTGGTGAATAAATTATAAAGAAGTAACAACGACCAAAAAGCATGAAGTCATTAAAAGCTGTTACTTTACTAATGGCGTGTAGTAATCAAAACTCATCTAGACCAATAATATTGAATGTCTTTAAAAAGCTTTCATTGACTACATCAAGAACCCCACTTAATCATCTGAAACCAAAAACAATACCAAAATTCTATAGAATATAATCACATAAAAAAAAATCAAACTATCATGAATATCAGTTTCTCTTTAAAAAATGTTAAGAAATCAAAAGCGATTTAAAATTAAATCAAATTTCATTGACATTCTGTATACTTCCTGTGAAGTGCAATTATTATTATACACCAAACCCAACTCAACACTTATAACTATTACAAGTATGCATACAACTTTAATAATACTCATCGCCAACTATCTAACTACTTTACAGTATCCCTCAGGGGTTACTAAACAACAAAGAAATTATCTCACTCCCAGCGCTGATAAATTCGACATTCGAGAAGGAATCTTATACCGCTTCAACCCCAACAGTAATCATTCACTAAAGAAAGTGTTAAATCTCAAAGAATCTTTAGATGCATTTATCATCCACCACCACCACCCATGGGAGAGAATTTTGCTTATGGTAATACTCTTTACAATACTAGCTTATACTACTACTGGGGCAACATGGCCAAAGATATCATAAATTACACCCGTCAATGTGAATATTGTCAGACGCAAGGAGAAATATTCATAAACGAAAAACTACATCCCATCAAGATTGATGTGTCAACTAAGCCATTTGAAAGAGTCGGAATAGAAGTCAAACACGTAGCCACGTCCCGTTCCGGATATAAACATATCATCGTTGCTATTTGCTACTTAATCAAGTATGTCGAATGCGAAGCTCTCACTACCCAGACGTCTGCCGACGTCGCCAAATTTTTAAATTCAGTCATTTGTCAACATTCCGTAATCAGATACTGTCACACTGACAATGGCAAGCCCATGATATCTGATACCATCAAAGCAGTATGCCAACAATTTGAAATTATTCATAAAACCATCACTCCATATAATAGCCAAGCACAAGGAATGGTCGAAAGATTTAACAGAATTGTAGACCAAGTATTACAGAGAAAAACCACCGCTGAAAAGAAGGACTGGGAAGAACACTTAGAACCTACCATATTTGCATACCAATCCATTAAACAATCACCTTTTTTTATGATGTATGGGTATGATCCTTCCCCCAGCCTCGATATCCAACTATCCAATCTTGACCCTTGGACTACAGACTTCGGTCTACAAATGAACAATCGACTTTACAATCAAATAGCACTCTTACACCAAGTAAGGCGGTCAGCACAAAAATGCATCGAGATATCTCAAACCAACCAAATCAAACGTATTGACAAGATCTTATTAAACCGAGGGAAAGAGTTCAAGCCCGAGTTCTTGTTAGGCGATCAAGTCTACATTTATAAGGACTATCTCTTCACTTCCTGGTCCGGCAAGATCGAGACCCGACGGGACGGCCCTTCATCATTCATCAGATTTGGGTAAAGGCACTAACCTTGCAAAAAATATGGGACCTACGGACACCAAACTACGTCGCGTCCACGGAAACCGCCGGAAATTACACTATCAACTCTCCGCCAATTGGGACCATCTTTTGACGAGATTCAATTAAGATAAAGAAAATTTAATTTTCCACCCATCTGTATATAAACCCCCCATCGCCAACACCTTTCCCATTTCTTTCATCCCCAACTATCTCACACTACCCACTTAAAATAAACCAATGGTGTACAATTACCCCCATTCCGATGATGATGTAGTTAGAGATAAGGTATCACCTACAAATTCCCACAACCCGCCTAGACCTGAAATCCGGATTCGTGGGGTAGCCAAGTAAGTCGAAAAAAACTAAAATCAACGACACATCCCCATACAACCTCCCCAGTGATAACGCGGTGTCCACCATGGTGAGTGTCAAGGAAGAATTAGAGCTTATTATCGTAAGGGAATGTCGCTCGGATCATGAACTCAAAATGCTTGAACGCGCCTGGTTACAAGAAATTGTAAAACCTCTTCTCAGCTATCCCCACCGTCATAACGTCAAACCTACGACCAAACTCAACGAGATGTCTATTTATACTCCCGCTTCTTAACTTTGAAGGAATGTACTGTCAATGTCCCTACCCTCTCATCTCGGTTAACCAAAAAGCTTTCTAAGAATGACACTTGTGCGTCACCCCTCCATAATCGCATCAAGGATTAACTTTGACTCCGTCATGAGTATAAACTGTCAAATTCTATTGCTATTACTTTTCCCTTCGTGGTTCCTCCGTTTTTTTCCTTTTTCCTTTTTCCTTTTTCCTTTTTCATTTTTCCTTTTACCTTTTACCTTTTCCCTTTTCCCTTTTCCTTTCTTTCTCTTTTTCCTGCCTCTGTTGTTTCTTTATACACGCGAATTTATAATTTGTTACCCTTTTTAAAAAACCCCATTTTTTTCTACACTTTATTATCTCCATTATGTGGGCATAATGTTATGCGACAAATCGAGCGCATTTCCAATTTTTCTTTCTTTTTAAACACCTACTAAAGTGCCATACACCTTTTCGGGTTTGCACCTGTCAAAACTACTTCTTTTCATCTTTTTCTTATCCTCAGATCTGTGACCTCTTAGTAGGCGCAATTACCTCAATCTCTTCTATAAATTTTCCCAATTTCTTTAATTTCAGTGACTGGATAATACGTGCATCACTATAAATAGGCATCCATAAGACCTCTCTTAAATAAAAATCCTCATCTATTATTTTACTCATATTTCAACACTTTGACTTATTAGTTTTATATATTATTCATCTCTATTATTATTCTGATTGATCCCTTGATTACATTTTATCATTGTATCTTTTTTTTATAAGCATATAAGCTATACTTAAATCGATTTTATTGTATTCGAGTAGTATATGCACCACATTTGCGGTAACATACTTGCACTCCGACGATTGAAGTAACTTATCATCTGTCACCTTTTGGCATATGTCAGATGATATTTCATAATTCACGTAACACTAGTATATTTATTTCAGTTACGGACTGTTATTATATTATCGTTGATGTACCTTGCGGGATATTGACAGTTTAGACAATATGTCAATATAATCTACCCACGGTAGTCATCTTCTCGTTTGCTGTACATAGTTGTGTTCGTTGTGTATAAAAGAAATCCACATTTTTATGTTTAATAAAGTTCAGTTCCTTTTTGCAATCTGGTTAATACTCTGTCTTATTTTCATTTCTGTCTTTGGATTTTTCACATTTATTTTTTAACAGTTCAGCTTCTGTTTAAACTAGCTCTGGTGCTCACTCAACTAGTAATTATAAAGACCTTTTTTACTAAACTCTATTGTATTTAAATACCCTTTATCCCACCAATACTAATCGCATACTTTTATTTTAATGTCTGTATCATCTTGAGCAACTTTCTTCTTGAACAAACAGATGACGAAGATATTATTCTTACGAAGCAACTATGGGACAAAAAGAAGGGGAAGCATTAGCCACGTAGAGTCAAAAATCAAAAAAGGTGTTCAAAGGTCGTAAGGAACGACAGGAGGAAGATGATGTTGAGGAAGACAGTTCCGAAGAAGATACAAGGGCTAAAGAAGATCTGCACATCGGCAAAGAAAAGTAACAAAAGATGAAAGAAATCGTTCTTAAGTTTGACAACAAATCTCACCTTCTTTTAATAACAATTAATAAAAACATCTTATATGTGATATGCATGGTTTATTTTAATAAAATTTATATTCCAAGTTCAGGTTATGCCACATGGTCTCACCCTCTTCCTTGCTCAATTTAAAAGTATTGATCCTCGTGATGGCATTGTGATACCTGCGCATGTACTCTGCGAATCTCATCTTGTTTGCCGCAGCTTCTCGCCGAACCTCAACAAAACCCGATACATCTAACTCCTTTGTTTCGAGAGGAAAATCCTCTTCAGACTTCAAAGCCCTCTTTCTTTTTCCACTAGCCTTGGGAAGTTTAAGTTTAGTAGCCCTAGAAGAGGGCGAAGGAGAATTTGCTGAATCTTTGTCGGTCAACAGATCAACATGTTGTGCAAAGTTTTCATCCTCTGAATTAATCTCCTCTGGCTTTTTCCAGCTGAAAGGTTCACTTCCAAGAACACTAGTTTCCATTCCCAAAGCAGGATCTGTTCGTCTTGACCCCATGACTGATCTCAGAAGATGGAAGTGGGCACAGACCTGTTTCAAAGCAACTTGAATTTATTTTATAATACATCACACTATTATTACAAACAAATATAATATAATACCTTCAAATAATGGATTTTCTTCGGTGGTACTGTCGTATTTGGGTAGGATTCACTTAAGAATAATTAAGCAAATCGTTTAAATAAATAAACTATAAAATTAAAACAACCATTGATGTTGCATACCAGCATACGCTTGTATACTGCTATACAACTTCTCCTACTTCGATTACATACTTCTATATAAAAGATTGCATGATTGGCCTAAATACAATATACGAATGACAGTTGGATACAGAATGTGATACCACTGAGTTACGATATCACCGATCGAGAAGAGAAACTTCTCAGATCAATCAAGAATTATAAGAAAGAGAAACTTAATATTAATAGTTCTCTCAATGGATTAGCTACCCAGAGAGAGAATAGAACAGCTATTAATATAAATGGTTCATTTACTTATATATTGATATAGTTGTACTGCTGATAAAGAGTATAAAGAAATAGTGTATGAATTAATGGATACCTAGCTTCTACAACCAAATATACAAATATCGATAAGACGCTTTATATTTGGGATCGTAATTTATTCATTACAAAGATAATGAATAAATGATCAACTATTATGTTCTATTGCCAATTACACTTGACAAACAAGTATGCATCTTTTACAGTAACCGTTGCATGATCTGATAAATAAGTGTCTTGTAATACTAAAGATTTATTAGAATACTCATGCTCCCGATCCACTGATATGCGACAACGTTATCTGGAAATAATTCTAACGAGTAGTATCCATTTAACCCAAGGCGGGAAACAAAGTATAGATCTATTCCAAAACCAGAAAGGTTGACTCATCATTAAAACTCAGGAGAGTTGTGCAATATAAAAAAGGATCAATTATTTCATAGCAGCAGAGTTCTTTTAGTCTATTTTTACCCCCAATAAAAATATACTTTTATCTCATTACTTTTCTATGTGATATTTTGTCAAATACCACAGATTTGGCAGGAGGGACAAACACTAATCCACTGTTGGACGTCAGACTTCATAGTAGGCCACAAAAAACGAGGAGTCAAAAATTTGATCATAGACTTGAAACCAGCATGCCCGAAAGTGTCGTGATAATCAGAAACGGTGTCAGCACGTTCAGCAAAAGGTAAAAATGCAACAAGTTTAGTGACGTTGTTGGTAGGATCAATAACAACTTTTCTAAAAACTCGATTAGCAGTAATGTGAAACTTTTCGGCTTCTTTATCAAGCAAGGCTTTTAGTTCATCAGTTTTTACCTTTTCACGACTACTGGGTATCAATAGAAGGGGCCAGTCATATCGAATAGTAGTAGGAAACTTATCCCAAACAGCATAGAGGTAATCAGGTTCCATAGGGGCAGGAGAAGAAGTATCATTGAAGGGCATTCGAGACAGAATATCAGGTATAGTGTTTTCTTTTCCCGGTTTATAAACTATTTTTGGTGAGTATAACTCTAATTCGTTTATCCATTGTACCAAACGACTAGGTGGTTTATCTTTGGATCGGAAGTATTCAAGGGGAAGGTGATCAGAAAACACTGTATAACCAGCAGGGCAACCATCAACATAACAACGCCAGACACGTAATGCATGCAATATAGACATCAATTTACGTTCTTGAGCAGGTAGTTTAGCTTCACAGTCAGCGAATTTTTTTGATTCAAAACAAATTGGATGCCATGGACGGGAAGGATCATCACCAGGTTGTAAGAGAACAGCACCACATCCACGGTCAGAGGCATCAACTTCAATATGGAAAGGCTTGGTCATATCCACGACATGAAGAACAGTACCGGAAGCAAGCAATTCTTTCAACCTATCAAAACTTTTTGGA